TTTTTTCTCAGTTTCCCTTAAATTTATGACCACTTTCTTTTGCGGTATGTTGGACCCCCACCCTTAAACCACCAACCAAACAACCACTTCACCCACCTAAAAAAAAAAAAAACAAAATATACCCACAAACCTGAAAAAATCTATTTCATTCCATATTCATTTAAAACGAATAATAGCTTATCATCATAGAAAGTGAATTTTGGGAATTTATTTTTATTTCAAATTTACATTTTGTCCGTCTATGCCAAACGGTAGTAGTCTCGTGTCACAATTTTTTCAACAACAATAACAAAATTTGAGAGAAAGTGAAAGGAATGATTTTTATATTTTTCACTATTCTTCGCATAATCTCTTAGAATTTTTGTTTTGTTTCAAATATTTGAAAAATACAATATAGAAAATTATTCAAATGCCAAAGTGTCAGACAATTTGGCACATTGTGTTGTTAGCCATTTGGTTTATAAATAAATCATTTTTTGCTCATATTAGATCAGACAAATATAATTAATAACTATGAGGTGGCTCAAATAAACAAAATATTTTTTTTAGAAAAATATGGCATTTCTCCGGTTAATAATTGTTTAATATCCACATTTTAAAAAAAAATTATTTAATTTAAAATTTTTTTATCTTTTAGTAAATTCTTTGGAAATAACACATTTTTTTATGCGAACACCTAATAATAATATATTTTGATTGACTTTCTCCTTACAAATACCCCCAATATGATTACACTTTACCGTTTAACTCTCTCTCACTGCACCCTCTCTTCAAATTTATTTTCTTAACGAGCCTGTCAAATTTATAGAAAGAGAACGACTTTTACCCCCCACAATTAGAACATTTCATTTAAATAAATTTAAAATTAAAACCTTTTCATTTTACCCATTCCGCCCGCCTGCCTGCATACCTATTTATAGGTTCGTTAACCTTTATTTAATTATAATTCTTAAAATATTTTCCTTTGTGAACAGGTGTTGTTTAAATACTAATTAACGGTTGCGCCAACTGCCGCAGAGAATGTAAACAGGCATATCCATAACATATGTTGGGAAGATAGAGAGCCACAGAGCGGTACATTAAGAGAATTGATTTTCAATGGAGTAAATATCACACATAAGGGAATATCAGTGTTAAAGAGAGATAGTCAAGTGAAATTGATTGTTAAAACCAGGGTTTGGAGGAAAAAATCAAAAAGAAAATAGTTTTTATGTTAAATTAAATTTAAAATTGATAGCTTTATTAAATAATTTTTGCTAGCCTCTTATAAGGCGTAGATTTATAAAATAATTATTTCCATGGACTCCCATAAGGCCAGGATTTTTTAATGAATTTTTTTCTTGACTTCCATAAGGCGTAGATTTTTAAAATAATTTTTTTTGAGGGATTGCCATAGGCGTTGATTATAAAAATAATAGGCGTAGACTTTTCAAATAATTATTTTGAGGGACTACCATAAGCGTTGATTATAAAAATAATAGGCGTAGATTTTTAAAATAATTTTTTTGAGGGACTACCATAGGCGTTGATTAAAAAATTATAGTCGTAGATTTTTAAAATAATTGTTTTGAGGGACTACCGTAGGCTTGGATTATAAAAATAATAGGCGTAGATTTTTAAAATAATGTTTTTTGATGGATTACCATAGGCATAGATTATAAAAATGATAGGCGTAAATTTTTAAAATAATGTTTTTTTGAGGGACTACCATAGGCATGGATTATAAAAATAATAGGCGTAGATTTTTAAAATAATGTTTTTTTGAGGGACTACCATAGGCATGGATTATAAAAATAATAGGCGTAGACTTTTAAAATAATTTTTTTGAGGGACTACCATAGGCATAGATTGTAAAAATAATAGGCGTAGATTTTTAAAATAATTTTTTTTTGAGGGACTACCATAGGCATAGATTATAAAAATAATAGGCGTAGATTTTTAAAATAATTTTTTTGAGGGACTACCATAGGCATAGATTATAAAAATAATAGGCGTAGATTTTTAAAATAATTTTTTTGAGGGACTACCATAGGCATAGATTATAAAAATAATAGGCGTAGATTTTTAAAATATTTTTTTTGAGGGACTACCATAGGTGTAGATTTTTAATTTTTATTTTCTAAATTTTAAATAACTTAAATTTGTCGATCTTTATTATTATTTCTATTCAATTCCAAACAAATTTAATATTGATAAACACTCTTGACCTCTTATGCAGCACGTGTGTTTATTTAGACCCCCTCTGATATGTCCTAATTTTAGTTCACCACAAATATGCAACATTTGTTTAGAAAAACTGCCTTACGTGACTTACATAAATTCACACAAACACACACAGCCATACATATATACATGCATAATTATATATGTACTATTTTGAAAGTGCTAATTTCCTATCAGCGTTTTCCCGGCCGACTTTTTTCTTCGTCTTCTATTAGGGCAGTTGTTGTCTAATAGTTTGTCTATTTACTCACGTCAAACGGCAGTAGCAAAAATATCTAGCTTGCTTTTTCCCTTCATACCACTACTAAACAAAACATACATGAAAACGGCTAATACCAAGCAACGACGTCATCGCCGCCGTCAGCATACATATGTAGAGGGATAGACGTACAAGTTAATATCCCACCCCCTTGTCTGCATTAAATAAACAAAACCCATTCCCCAGCAAAACTAAAAACCAACACAATGGTCCAAACAGCCAGCAGCTACCTATAGATATTTAAATTAAGCTAAAATATTCAAATTCACATGCATTGGTACAAACATGCATACATAAACATGAATATATGTGAATGCATTTATATCATGTTATTGTTTTTGTGTTTCTTTCTTCAGACATGTATTTGGTCTATCATCTGCATTTGTAGTTTTGTTGGTATTTATTTTTTCACCTTTGCCAACCACTATGCTGTTTTTTTATCCCTTTTCCCAGAAATGGGGCACAATGTTTGTTTAGTTTTCCGTTCTTTTTGTTTATCTTATTCAATTTGTTTATCTTGTTTCATTTTGTTTTTGCAATCTTCTCTCTCTTCCTCTGTAATATTTGTTATAATTTAATTGCAAAGAGAAGCTGTGTGCGTGAGAGTAACATTTTAGTGTTTGTTATTAATATATTTCTGTGTATTAATTTGTATGAATAATTTTAATATTTATTTTTAATATAAATACATCTCGCTTCATTTTTTAATAGCGTGTTTAATTTTGTTTATTACTTTGAATTAGCGAATGTGTCACACAACTCCAACGGATGAAATAGTGAAATGACGTTAAGCTGTTGGAAACTTGGCAGCATTTTTTGCACATATTGCATTATATTTGCAAACAGAGTTGCCAATCTAAGCCAATGTGTTTGCAATGTGAATGACATCTGAGAAAATAAATAAAAATAATAAATTAAATTGATTTTTTTTCAATTTATATTAATATTATTAAACAATAAAAGATAAATTAACATTAAATGAAGTATTATGCCATTCTATGCGCAGGACAATAGAGACATTATTGTTTGAAAAATATATATTATTTTTGGGACTTTTTATGGGGAGAAACAGATAGGGGAGAGGGGGGCACCTTTGAACACTTTTTTCTTTCAAGCCTTACAAATTTTTTTCTTTTATAATTTTTGGTTTCTTATAAATTTTAACTAATAGGTACATATGTAACCTTTAAAATGAATATACATATGATATACTTTAAGCTTGATAAATATATTTTATTACTGTTTTAATGGACGAAGTCAAAAACCCAGGGGGGCTGTTTATACAAGGGTTAGCATTTTTGAACGACATGGTTTTTTAGGGTGTTTATGTTCAAATGTGTATGCATTTTATTCATACATATCAGAAATGCATTTATTCATTAACAAATATATAAAAAAATTTCGAAATTTAAAAAATTTAGATCAAAATTTATTAAAACATAAAATGACTTAAAAACAAAAATTAATATGGTGAAAAATACAGTTAATTTCGTAATCTTATTAGCCCGTTTGAAATTTTAAGAAATTGAAGCCAAAAGTTGAAAACTCCGTTTTTTACTCGAGTTTAATGGGCATGTTCAAAGGTGCCCCACCCATGGCATTTTACGGAAATTTATAATAACTTTTTTTGTAATAAATATTTAGAGATTTATGCAAGTCTGTTAAAATCAAAATAGGACTCAAAATATATTAAATAGAGTATTGAAATTTTGCACATACATAGCTATTACACCTAGGGTGTTCGGTATTATAAATGCCCACGTTACTGTATAGCCCCTATTCAGAGTACCAAAAAATATATGATATTTTTGGTATGTTTTTCAACAGAAATGTTTGAAATTTTGCATTTTGAGTTTTCATAGGATATCCCATATATCCGGTGCTTAGGTTTTTTCACGTTTCTCAACTGAAATGTATGTATATTGATATTTTGAGTTATCATGGTGTATAAAATCTTTCTACTCAAAATATTCAACGTGGATCGACTTTTCACGATAGTCCCCATATAACGATACCTATCAAATTTGTGATATTTTAAGGATTTTGTACACATTTTTTAAAGGAATTGAATGGAATTTTGAAGTTCTATTGTGTGGCAAATCTTTATACAAAAAATTATCCATATTCGTCCGCTTTTTCGTGCAGTCTCCATATAACGGTATTTAATTTCAAAGAATAATGCATTATTAAATTACTCATTACCCGCCTATTCAAACCTTCAATTGCCGCGATGGCAACACAACTCCTTCGTTTTAGTACACAAAACAGTTTGTTAAGTGATGCCATAGTTGCATTGTTTATTTCATACACTTACAACAATTTGGCAGCACTGTTGTCTGCAGTAGTTGTCATTTAATACGAAATTTTTTTCACAGTGAGAGTGAGTGTGTGTGGAGAAATCTTACATATAGAAGCAAAAACAACGTAAATTAACTTTCCTTTGTCATCAAAAGAAACTATAACAAAAAATAATAGAAAACAATTGTGAAAATTTATTACGGCTCAGTTTACGGGAAAAACAGAAAAATTGTGTGAACAAATAATTGAAAGTTTTGCCATGGCAAAAATTAATCTGGATGATGTTTCATCCCAGAATTCAGCCACTACACCAATTGTTCGTGAAAATATACCACTTATAAATCGGCCTCGGAGACGGTGGTATTTATTTAGGTGAATCATCAATCAATTTAATAATTTTTATAATATAAAAAAAATGGAATTCATTTGTGTATATTATTTGTTGGTGTAGAATTACTAAACATTTATGTTTTTTCGTTATCTGTTTTAATTTTTTTCGTTTGTTATGTATGTGTAATGATTTTTCTTCTTGTTCTTATTCATCGTGTATGGTCATGGCTGGCATGAAAAAACAAAATACAGTGAGTAAAGTTCTGTCATGACAAAAGATTGCTGCTGACTATGGTGGTTTGCTGGGTTCGTGCCTGTGTGTGTGTGAATGTATGTGGGTGAAAAAAATGTTTGTGGCTCTTCACCCCTTGCTGTGCACTGGCCTGCTTGTCTGCTCATGAATATTTATACACAAAATGTTGTCATATCGCGTTTGTTGTTGGGGAAACCCCTCTCTGTCTCTCACACTCTTCAATAACAGCTGTATGTCTCTATTGAGTACAAACAAAAAAATAATGTTGTTTTTGCCCATCTTTTTTTGCATTAGCATAATTGATTACTTCTTGTGAAGTTGTTTGTTCTAGTTTCGGTTTTCTTTTGCTCTTCCCAATGTAAAATTCAATTTATTTCGTTCCAGTTTTATTACGATAATTATTTTGAAATGTTTTTTATTTATTTTATTATGGATAATCTCTTTTGCATTGTAAAAGGATGTGCGTGCTAGTTAGCTATTAGTGGCATGGTGGTGTAATGATATGTTTGCCCGTTAGCTGTTTGTATTTTCGCTGCTGCTGTTTGTTTTCCAGGTGACCTCAAGAAAATTCAGGCCATGCATTATAAATTCCTCCTGTGTGTTAGTAAATTACTACTTCTTTGTTGCCTATGAAATTTTAATTTATTGATTTTTTTTTAAGTTTTTAATTATTTTTGAAGTAATTTTAGTAAAAAGTGGGTAATATTGGATTTAAAGTCATTTCAATTAGAAAGGATACCGAAAAAATAATGCTGTGAATGTCTGAGGCCTTTACCCATTCCGCATAATATCAACCTGATAAAGTACCGTTAGAGATCTAGAATTCAATTACTGTTGTCCTATATTTTTATCATAGAAGCCTTTCAACGTTTTCGAAGTCTTTCTCTAAGCACGCGAAAGAAGTAAATTTTTTGTAACTTGATTTGAAATTCGAATCTAAAACCACAGTATTTGACGTAAACTCCAAGCATTAATGGTGATGAGTCAGTATTTGCAAATACATACATGTGATGTGGTGGTTGGCAGATGATCTAATTTCATAAAAAAAATATTTAAATTAAAAAAAAAACCTCCGAACCATCTGATTTGAAATTCATTTATACTAGTATGCTTGATATCAAAAATGAATACAATTTTAAAAACAATGTGCACAAGATAGATGATTGGAGAGTGTCTCTGAGATCTCCAGTCATAGGAAGAGACATAAGACATTTTCGCACTATTTATTTTGATCCAAATCTTTCTACCGCAGTTATTTGAGTCATAAAAAGACCCATAGGACATTTTCGCACTATTTATTTTTATCCAAATCTTCCCACCAGAATTGCTTGAGGTGTGCATTTGAGTTCCCCAGTTATAGGAAGAGACATAGAGCCTTTTCACACAATTTTGCTCAAAAATTTCTCCACCAAATACGACGACCATAGCCATCAAAATTATATCCCGAGATGCCTGTTCGGAACTCTTCTGGTCCGCGCCGGGATAGAAAGAAACCTCGGACGTTGCTTCTGTTCCGTTTGACGTAACCGCATCCACCATAGATCAACGTCGGTGAGATGCAGTCGATGGATGCATTTCTGCGGCTGTTCAGGTCTTAGTCCTCATCATCTTCGCCGTCAACGTCTTCGTCGTCAACGACATCGTCGCCAACGTTGTTGTCGTCAACGTCTTCGTCGTCGAATTATGAGACACCTCCTCTACAGCAGATACAGAATCTAACACCACGTGCACAAAAGGAAAAAGTGGCTACACCACTTGAAGCAATGTAACATTGTCACCAGATCAAATAAATTGTGGGCAACGGTTAAGTCACTCTCGAATCCTGGAAGGAAGGATGACAGGACGGCTGTTACATTTGACGACATAACTATGACAGACCCGAAGAGGTGCGCGAGTTATTTTAACCGGCAATTCATAGAGCACCCCCCGAGAGTGACGGGGTCAAAAGGAGTGTACTACGTCGCATAAGTACACTGTGAGCCGAGGAGGAACCACCACAATTTAGGAAGAAGGACGTTGCAGATGTCATCAATAACGCTTAGTCATCCAAAGCGATGGGCCCGGACGGAATATCCACGGCAATGCTAAAACAGCTGGATGAACCCGAAGTTGAGTACTTAACATCAGCCCTCAACTTGTCGTTAATCACACATATAGTTCCTGAAGCCTGGATAACCGACCGTGTTTGAAACGTTGGATTATGAACTATATGTGTAGACGCCTGTCGTATGTGGAATTCAGATTCCCCAAGGAGGGGTCATATTTCCGAATTTGTTTAACCTCTACCTTTCCGAAATTCCACAACCACTGGACGGCATAGAGATCGAAATGTATGCCGATGATTGTACGATCATGGCGTCGGGTACCATTAAGGAATATGAAAATATGCGCTACAAAATCACTCTGATCACCACATGAACGGCTGAAATGAAGCTCCAGCTGAATATAATAGTCGATGGAGAACTGATTCCGACCACAAATTATTTATTTATTTCAATCTCAACATGTATAACGAAGCCTTTAGGCCAATAAAGCAAGATACTGGGTGTAACTTTCGATGGCCTTTTCAAGTCGTCTGTGCAAATCACTGCTTTATGCGATAAGCTGAGAAGTAGGAATAATATCATCAAGTCACCAGCCGTCAGCACTCGGTGTCCATAGCCCCAGGGGTTAAACTTCTTCATAGATGAAATTGTTAATTTCTCACGTCTGAGGAATATGAAAATATCCGCCGCTGACGAAGACCTTCAAGTGACAATCATTGACAAATCTGATCCTTATGGTAGGATTAGTGACAGTCATTGGTTGCTTAGTTTTTTAACAGTTAGTTTTAAAATTATTTTTATTTCAATTGGATTTGTAATTATCAACTAAAAAGCAATCACCACCAAAGCCAAAGAGAAAACCTACTTTCGGTTCCTGCAAACCTAATTTACTTTTTATAAAATATATCTAAAATTGTCCTCATTTTAATACACCTTTTATTAACCTATTTCCCTTTTCTTTTTTTTTAGCTGCTGGAGAAAATGGTTTGCACCACGCGAACTACGATCTCGTACCGTCCATTTGGGACGAGCAACAACAGAAAAATTCCCACCGAATGAAATTCGTAATCAAAAGTACAATTTCATATCGTTCCTGCCGTTGGTACTTTTCGAACAGTTTCGTTTCTTTTTGAATTTATATTTTCTGTTAATGGCTCTCTCACAATTTATACCCGACATTCGTATCGGTTACCCGTATACATATTGGGGCCCGTTGGGTTTTGTGCTAACCGTGACAATATGTCGTGAGGCTATCGATGATTATCGTCGTCATCAGAGAGATCGTGAAGTGAATTCACAAAAATATAAGCGGCTAATTGTTAGCGATACGCGTGGTTATGAAATGGTACCATCATCGAAGTTGAAAGTCGGCGATATGATTATTGTGGAGAAAAATGAAAGGGTACCGGCTGATTTGGTGTTATTGCGTACAAGCGATAAAAGTGGTAGCGTTTTTGTGAGGACCGATCAATTGGATGGTGAGTTTTGGATACAAATTGTTTTATGTGGTAAATTTTAATATTGTTTGTTTTTTATTTTTTAGGTGAAACTGATTGGAAATTACGCTTGGCCGTACCCTATACCCAAAAATTGAATAAGGATTCGGACTTGTTTAACATCGATGCCAGTGTTTATATTGAAAAGCCTCAGAATGATATACACTCCTTTATTGGCAACTTTTCCATGACCGATGGCAGTGAGGATACTGGCCTTAATGTTGAGAACACCTTGTGGGCCAATACCGTGGTGGCTGCTGGCACAGCAACGGGCATTGTTATTTATACTGGCTGTGAAACGAGAAGTGTTATGAACAACTCTCAACCCCGTTCCAAAGTGGGTTTACTAGACATGGAAATCAATGGCTTGACTAAGGTAGGGTTTTGAAAAAATACGAATTTTTAATTAGAAACGATTTTAATCAAATGTCATTTGTAGGTACTCTTCTGTGCTGTTTTGGGTCTATCCCTGGTCATGATGATGCTGAAAGGTTTCAGTGGTCCCTGGTATCGTTATATGTTCCGTTTCGTCTTGCTTTTCTCCTATATTATACCCATCAGTTTGAGGGTCAATTTGGATATGGGCAAAGCCTTTTATTCATGGCAAATGCAAAATGATCCGGAAATACAAGGCACTGTGGTACGTTCGACCACCATACCCGAAGAACTGGGTAGAATATCGTATGTTTTGACCGACAAAACTGGGACCCTGACCCAAAATGAAATGGTCTTTAAGAAAATTCATTTGGGTATTGTCTCACATGACAATGATACATTCCATCATGTATCGGAAATAATCAGTTCATTGGCTCCAACAATATTCCGTTCAACTTCGGCATCGGAATCGAATGCCAAACCGACCACAATCTACAATAATCGCATGCGTCGTCCTGAGGGTTGGCGTGAATGGGAAGCTGTAAAGGCTTTGGCCTTGTGTCACAATGTTACCCCTGTTACCGATGAAGATGATAACCGCTCCGTGTCCACTTCGTCGACATTTACCTCAGGTGGTGGCGGATCATCTTCGCCCACAAAATCTGTTATCAACATGGATGTGGCCTCTTCATCTAATGAACATCAATATCAGGCTTCGTCGCCCGATGAAATTGCCTTGGTTAAATGGACCGAACAAGTGGGTTTAACCCTAATCGCTCGTGACATAACCTCCATGACATTGCAATTGCGAACCCATAAGAAATCTTCAGATCAATATCAAAGTGAAGATGATGGCCTTTTGCATTTCCAGATATTGCAAATCTTCCCCTTTACCAGTGAAAGTAAACGTATGGGTATTATTGTCAAAGATTCCCAGACCGGGGAAATTACATTCTACTTGAAGGGCGCTGATGTGGTAATGCAATCGATTGTCCAATATAATGATTGGTTGAGTGAGGAGTCCGGCAATATGGCCCGTGAAGGTCTTAGAACATTGGTGGTGGCCAAGAAGGTCTTAACCGAGGAGCAATATAATGATTTTGAGACGCGTATTCATGCAGCCGGTAGCAGTAAGACCGATCGGGCAGCCAAGGTGGCGGCCGTTGTGGAATCATTGGAAAGGGAAATGGAACTGTTGTGTTTGACTGGTAGGTTTACAAACTGTTTACATTCTTTAATTATTGTCCTAATTTGTATAACTTTTTTCTCTCTTCCAGGTGTTGAAGATCGCCTACAAGATGGCGTCCGACCAACTTTGGAACTTTTGCGCAATGCTGGTGTCCGTGTTTGGATGTTGACCGGTGATAAATTAGAGACCGCATGTTGCATTGCCAAATCTTCTCAGTTGATTGGTCGCAATCAGGGCCTGCATGTTTTAAGGCCAGTCAAAACCCGCACCGATGCCCATTTGGAACTGAATCAATTCCGCCGCAAACAGGGACATGCCTTGGTTATATCCGGCGAATCTTTGGAAGTTTGTCTACAATATTATCGTTTGGAATTTCTGGAATTGGCAACAGCCTGTCCCGCCGTGGTCTGCTGCCGTTGTAGCCCCACGCAAAAAGCTCAAGTGGTACAGCTTATACAGAAACACACGGGCAAGCGTACCTGTGCCATTGGTGATGGTGGTAATGATGTTAGCATGATTCAACAAGCTGACGCGGGTGTTGGTATTGAGGGTCGTGAAGGCCGTCAAGCCTCTTTGGCTGGAGATTTCAGTTTACCCCAGTTTTCACACATCGCCAAATTGCTATTGGTCCACGGTCGCCGTTCGTATAAACGTTCTGCTGCTCTGTCACAATTTGTCATACATCGTGGCCTAATCATTACCACCCTGCAGGCGGTTTTCTCTGCCGTCTTTTATTTAAGTTCAGTGGCTTTATATCAAGGTTTCCTTATGGTGGGCTATTCAACACTCTACACCATGTTTCCAGTATTTTCATTGGTTCTAGATCAGGACATAACATCGACAACGGCGGTTACGTATCCCGAACTCTATAAAGATTTATCGAAGGGTCGCAGTTTAAGTTATAAAACATTCTTTATATGGGTCCTCATCAGTATCTATCAGGGTGGTGTCATCATGTACGGAGCCTTGATATTGTTTGAAGATGAATTCATTCACATTGTGGCTATTAGTTTTACTTCGCTGATAATGACCGAACTGATTATGGTGGCGTTGACAGTAAGAACATGGCATAGGTATGTGGAAAGAGTTATGTTTTTTTATAATTTTAATTTCGAAATAATTTATATTTTACGTTTTAATTTCAGACTAATGGTGCTAGCCGAATTATTCAGTTTAGCTTTATATTTAATATCGCTGTTCGTTTTACATGAGTATTTTGGTAAGTTGGCGAATTTAGACATCTGACCTAGACATTTGACCTAAGTTCCCGAAGAATTTTCTTCTATAAAGAAATTGGACCTATGGTCCCGAAGAATTCTTTCTGTAGAAAAAATGGACCTTCTATAGAACAAAATGGACCTACGTCCCGAAGAATTTTTTCTATTAGAAAAAAATTACCTACGGTCCTGACGAATTTTTTTTCTATGGAAAAAAGTGGACCTATGGTCAATTTCAATTTTTTTATAGAAAAAACTTGGGACCTACGGTCCTGTTAAATTGTTTTCTCTAGAAAAAAATTCACGAAGACCGTTGGTCAAGTTTTTTCTGTAGAAAAAAATTCACGAAGACCGTTGGTCAAGTTTTTTCTATAGAAAAAAATTCACGAAGACCGTTGGTCAAGTTTTTTCTGTAGAAAAAAATTGGACCTACGGTCTTGTCGAAATTTTTTCTATAGAAAAAAATGGTGAATGGAACAATGTTCCTGTCACGATTTTTTTATAGACCTACGGTCTTGTCAAATAGTTTTCTATAGAAAAAAATAGACCTACGGTCCTGTCAATTTTTTTTTCTATAAAAAAAAATAGACCTAGGGTCCTGTCAATTTTTTTTTTCTATGGAAAAAACTAATTCAAATAATTTATTTTTATGATTATATTTTTAATTATTTTTAATTTATTTTACAGATTGGGAATTTATATCCTCCTACGATTTCCTATGGAAGGTCTCCATTATCACCCTGGTATCCTGTTTACCATTGTATATAATTAAATTTTTACGCAAGAAATGTTCACCGCCTTCATATTTGAAATTAACATAAATCCCACTCCAAGGTATTGTGGTGGATGGATAGATGCAGGCTGATCTGATGACTGCGTGTGATTGAGTGCTCGTCTATATTTTTTTTACATTCGACGACAAATTTTTTTATTATTATTATGAAAAATAATTTTAATATTTTTTTAAGTAATAAACTATGTGTAGTATATATATCATAATACCTATCCTCCTCCCTCGTCTCCCCCCATCGAAAAAGAATATGTAATTTGTTTATGTTATTTATTAATATTAAACAAATTTTGTTAAATCATTTTTTTGTTTTTTTATATACATATATATTATAATTATTATTAAATATTATTTAAGCAAGCTTTAAGTTTACTCAAAAAAAACCCCAATCCAATCACCCTTTATTAAATTGAATAATAATTGAAAAGAAATTCTAAATATTGAAAAAAAAAAATTAATGCTAACAAAACAGGTGATGCTGGCAAAGGAGGCAAAAGGCAACCCATTGGAAATCTCATATTTTGTATTTTTTTTTTAATTTAAATTAAAGATCCTAGAAGTGTTAAATCAAATTTAATACATTTTCTTTAGTTTAGTTTTTTTTTATTGATTTTGTAAGCAATTTTTTGTTGTTGTTTATAAATTAATCAAAAAAGCCTTTTGCTTGATGCCCCGGTCACCTAAACTTTATGAAAAGAAAGTGATAATTAATTTAGTTTATCTCATGTTGCTAAAAATCGAAAAGAAAAAAAACTAATTAGGATATTAAACAAATTCCAAACCCATATATAAAAAAAATTAATACTTCCTTTCAAACTATCTACCACATACAGCCTCTTTTGATTTCCTTTGAAAACTTTTTTCCCATAAAAAAAAAACTTTTTAAAAATGCATTTCTTATTGTTTATAACAAAATATGTGTTTTGTTTTTCTTTTTTATTTTTCCATTAATTACTTATTTACCAGAATAAACCAAATATTTATAAAAACTACAACAACAACAAAAGCCTAATGTAATTATATTGACTTATTATTGAATGAATGAACCAACCAAGTGAAGTGAAAATAGTTCGAGATGATGTATGCTGTAAAATTCTACCAAAACCAACAACAAAAAATAAAATACTAAAAGATTTTTTAATTTATTTACAATGAATGAAAAAAAAATAATGCAAAAAAATTAAATACAAAATATATATTTAAAAGTATATATATAAATAAATATATGGACAAAAAGAATGCAAACATTTTTAACTTTTAAATTTTTAGCATATTAAAAACAAATACAATCTTTAAACAAAATACTGAGTTAATCTAAAACTCTTAGAGAGCAAGAAGAAAACGACTAAACTGAATGCTGGTGTGTTTTTAAAAGTAAAGAAGTAAATAACAAAATAATTTTGTTAACTGCAAAGGAAAAAAATAGTCGTAAACGAAATTTAAAACAACAAATTGGAAACACAAGAAAGTTATATATGTATTATATATATGAAAAGTAAAACAGAGCAAAAATGTCAATAAAAAAATAAATAAAAATTTAATAAATTAAAAAAAAATAAATAAAAATAACTGAGTTTTATTTAATTTTAGGAGAATACATCGGTGCAAGAAGAAAACTATAAACCATTTGCTATAGATTATTTATTTAAGGTTTTCTTTTTTTTATAGATTTTCTATACAAAATTTATAGAAATATTTGACACGATTCGAAGTCATCTACGAATAAATGCCAAATTCGAAACGGTATTGAAGATTAATTATTTCTACAAATAAAAAAAAAACTATACAAAAATCGGTCTTATAAAAGTGAAAATAATTTGTTTGTCATTATAATAGCTACTGCCTATGAATTCGTTTCGCCTAAAAGTATGCTCAACATTTTCTTTACAAATTTGCAGTCATTATCAATTTTTGTGATTCGCCTAAAAGTATGCTCTAATTTCCATTACAACTCAGCAGTCATTGAAAAATTGCCATTTTTAAAGATTCCATTTTGTGTGTGTTTTTCATTTTTAGGTAATAGGCGAACAGCACCGAACAGTAGCTATATTTTGGAAGACGATTGAATTCAAATGCGAATAACTCAGCCGCTACTGAAGCGAATTGCAAAAATTTCGCACAGATGGTTAGAAGGAAATGTCTAGTTTTAATCCATATTGAAAATACAAATATAAATGTATGTTATATGGGAGAAAATTAGCATTATTTGAAAGTTCGAAGATATTTATATATCTCCAATTTTTTTGAGAAATGTACACAAAGTAGACATTATCTTTGTGGGATTTACACGAAAATTTGGCATAGGGTATGGATTTGAGGCGAGAAAGGCGTATTTTGTTCTTGAGAGGGTAAGTTTTCATACCCTCAACCTTATGGCTAATGAGGGTATATGCACTTTTATATGACAAATATGGGCCTCATCGACAAAATACGGGTTCTAGACTCCATGTTTCTTTGGACCAAATCCATTTCAGACAATTTGGAGTCGATTTAAAAATGTTCGCCAGTCTGTCTGTCACCACAACTCTCGAAGGGAGTAACCGATTTCAATCCAACTTTGCACATCGTAATATTTATTCCAAACATAAATCAAGCTCGAGGATAGGGGAATATCGGTCCACTACTTCTGGTACAAAATGGTCAAAATTTCGAATAATTATAAATTCAATATCTAGCGAATGAAATGACCGATCTGAACCAAATTTGCAGAACCTATTATCTTTATCAACCATAGATCAATTCCAAAGAAAAGGCCCATTGGTCCACTCCTTCTGGTAACTCCCCCACAAAATGGTCAAAATTTTCAATATTTATAAATCCAATATCTAGCAAATGGAATGTCCGATTTGAACCAAACTTTGTACAACCTATTTTATTTACCAATCCAAGATTAAGACCGAAGATGGGACCCATTGGTCCACTCCTTTTGGTACCTCCCACACAAATTGGACAAAATTTCCAATATTTAAAAATCCAATATCAGGCGAATGGAATGACCGATTTCAAACAAACTCTGCACGTAGTAATATTTTTACCAAGCCTGGATCAAGTTCGAAGATGGGACCCATTGTTCCACTCCTTCTGGTACCTCCCACACAAAGCGGTCCAAATTTGCAATTTTTATAAAACCAATATCAGGCGAATTTAATGTCCGATTTAAATCAAAATTTTCACAACTTATTGTTTTTAATCAAGCCTAAATAAAGTCCAGAGATGGGACCCATTGCTCCACTGCTTCTGGTACCTCCCACACAAAGTGGTCAAAATTTGCAATTTTTATAAATTCAATATCAGGCGAACAGACTATCCTATTTCAAACAAACTTTGTACAACTTATTATCATTACCAAGCCAAGATTAAGGCCGAAGATGGGGCCCATTGGTCCACTGCTTCTGGTACCTCCCCCACGAAAGGTCGAAAATTTTCAATATTTATAAATCCAATATCAGGCGAATGGAATGACCGATTTAAACCAAACTTTGTAGAAACTGTTATCTTTATCAAGCATAGATCAATTCCGTAGATGAGACCCATTGGTCCACTCCATCTGGTACCTCCCCCACAAAGGGTTGCCAACCTACAAAAATCCCACACATAATTTATATTGATAATAGCTTTTAAACGTCTTGAGATAATTTAAAAATTCGAAGGGGTTTGTATAGATGATAATATGCACATTCTATCAATTAAGGCCCGTATGTAGCTTTCGATTTTTTTAACTTACCTCTATATTCCAAAAAATAAAAAAAATGAATACACTTTTAAAATGTTTTTTTTTTTTAATACAATTTCATTTCACTTTATTTCAAATTTGTTTAAATACTATTGGTTTTGTTTATGTTTTGCTTGTTGTTGTTCTTGTTGTCTGTTTGTTTGTCTTTGTCTTGCTGATTTCTGATTTATTATTAATTTTTCTTCTTGTTGTTGTTCTTTTGCTGTTCATTATTAATATTATTATTAATTAATATATATGTTTTTTGTTTTTCTCACAAATTATAACAGTTTTACAACATGTTTGTTTTTGTTTGTTTTTTTATAAGTTGTTCATATATATATTAAAACCATTTGTTTTTTTATTAATTTTATATTGTTTTATAAACTGCCATGCCTTGTCAGCCATTTTAAATTATGCCTTCAATACATCTACTCTCTAAACTTTCCAGTTACTGTTGCTTTATAGTTTTTGCAAAAATATTTCAGTTTTTTTTGTTTTATTTAATTCAGGTTAAGTTTTCATTTTTGGTGTATTTTTTACAGTTTTTCATTTACGTCATCATCATTCATGTCTTCTTGTTGTCCTTGTTAAATATTGTGTTTATTTTTTGTTTCTCATTAAATTCTACAAAATGAATTTCTTTTGAATTTGACTAAAGTTTTTTTTTTGGGTTTTTCTTAAATTCCATTTTGTGTTTTATTTTTATTATTATTATTTTTCTCATTTAACAAAATTTCATTGAATTTTTGTCTTTGTTGTTGCTGTTTGTTTTATTTTACATTTAATAGTGTGGTGTATTTGTTTTAACTGTTAATTTTTGTTGTTTATAAAAATCCAACTTAATTTTACTTAATAAATAAAACAAATGCAATTATTTGTTTGATTTTTTTCTTTAAATATATAACTCTATTTTTTGTTGTTGTGAATTTATTTTTTTTAATTTTTTTTTTGTTTTTATTATTTTATTATAATTTGTTTTGAAATGCGTGTCCTTTTAGTGTTGAAGTTAGTTTGGGTTTTTGGAATAAATATCAATTTTATTTCAAGTTTTATTTTTTAGTAATATTACGGGGGAGTAAGGGTAGGAGTTTTGTGTATAAACCATTAAAATACTGTTGAGTTTATCTATATTTCAGTTTTAGTTTCCCTTTTACCATTTCTAAATTTCAGGCATTGAAAAAATAAATATCTTTAAAAATCCACGCCTTGGTATAGACCTTGAAAAAAAATATCTTTAAAAATCCACGCCTTGGTATAGACCTTGAAAAATATCTTTAAAAATCCATGCATTGGTATAGACCTTGAAAAAAATATCTTT